TGCCATTTTCAAGTTACCTTTTGGAAAATTTACAAAGCTGGTATCAATATTATCAGAGAATACTTGACTAAAGTGCTTGGACAAAGCCTCAGCCTTGGTCAAGTTATCCTCAGCCATGTTTGTCTGGTCATCTTCATCATATTAGTTGGTGTTTAAACTGCATAAGGTTGCTAAGTGATCTTGAATTTAACAAATTAATTTATATCATTTCACCTTCCATTTTCCTCTGTTGCTTATCGTTCCTGGGCGTCTGATATTCAGTATGGAGCCAGGGAACGTAGCTGTTGGTCACAGCCTGCTGCCTGCTGGAATCAATTTGAGTGACGTGCATGTAAACTGTGTGAACCAAATGGAAACACTAATCTGACATTAGTCAAGGAATAAAGAATCATCTTTCTATCGTTGTATTCAAGGATATTCTTCACCTTAGCATATTATAATACCTTCAGGCGAGGATACTATGACGTGAATCATGTTTATCAAATAAGTTGAGGTGCTTGAATTTCATAAGTGTATTCAACGCTCACAAGTCAAAATCAACGCCATTTACATATGTAAAACATAATCATTTTCGGATCGGGGAAAACACCCATAACGACTTTAGAAAGAGAAAAACATGAAGTTCAACAAAAATATCTGTCTTTTCGGTGATTTCACTTTCAAATGCAGTACAATTGAATTTAAATACAAAGTTTTATATGGATACATAGTTACGACGGCGAATAAAAGGTGACAATTATTTTCAACTAGATCTGGTTCACGAGAGGCTTAGAAACAAAATTAACCCAGGATTAGAATGGATAACAAGTGTGTGAAAAATGAGGATGGAGACAAATTTAGAATAATAATTTTAACTTGAAATGGAAGTAAGGAGGTGTTCATATAGATTACAAGAGCCTTTTAAATACAAAAGTTGCGCAGGGTTAAGATATGATTGTAAAATAGTTATTTAAAACGAATTATAAATGTTAGCAGGAAAAGCATGGAAACAAACTTAAAAATAACTGTTTTTATAACTGAAAAAATGGAATGAAGCGAATGAATACAGAGAGAGAGGGAGTCAGAATCACACACACACAGAGCAAACGAAAAAAGATCAAAAAAGAGTACGAAAGAAGAAAAAAACAGAAGCTAAAGGAACATACCGAACTAGGCCCATGGTAGTTGTAGAGGTGGGACTAATTTCTTCTGAACACACAGATGCGGCTCCTCGATACATATTGTGATGGCTTCTGCAGGACAGAAAAGTCGGAAACATACTGTTTTTGGTAGGTTTCTGTTGACTTTGTAAATTACTTTGAGACAATCACTTGAGATGTTGTGGGAGGTGTTGATCAGATATTCACTAGTGGTATTTTTGATTTAACGAGTGCCTTCTCTTTGGAGCCACGCTGTGTAATGTCCTCTAACACGTTTCGAAAAAGCACACATATAACGACCTATGTACCTAGGTCCTCACGAGCAGGTGAATTGTTTGGTTTGTGCACATTTAATTGGTCATATGCGAGAGTTTATCTTTTACGTTGTTTCGAAGTATTGGACAGCTAGAGAATGTCACATAGTCTTCTTCTTATACTTCTGCTAATAAAAGCAGTCGGAGACAACTAGATCTTTCTGTCTGGGAATCTTCATCAGGAAAGTAGTATATGTTGCTAAAGTTTTTGTTTTAGTTTCTATCTGAGCAGCAGAAACTACTATTTAACATAGATGGTTGGTGCCTACTTGAATGCGTCCCTCAGTAGTATATTGCACATCGTTCTTTTTTGTTTCAATTTTGATAATTCACGTTAGTCATTTTCTATACTGCAACTACTTTAATTCTTCTCGATCTGTGTTGCTTAGGTGATTTAATCTTTGAAATTTCAATATGAAACCTTTGCACTTTGAATGATACCTTCAATTTGAGAGAACTGGTTCATAATTGAACTGTTCAACAGATTTTGTTGAGTGTGTTAGTTACACACTAATGTATTAAGTGACATTCATTTTATATACAACGCACATAGCTGAATGATTTTAATTTTTTTTTTAAAAACCCACTTAATGCGAGATGTGATAGCACACTGAGAAATGTGTAGCATTCTGATAAATCAATTAGATAATGATGATTATCAACAGTGTTGATGAATTTGTATATATGCACAAATATGTGATCATATTTTAACTAAGAGATTACAAGAGAGGAGCTAAATTATGTAAGTACAATTAAATGTTATTCGGTTACCTTTCCATGTCTAATTTTTGACTGATTGTAGAGTGTTGATCGATTTTCATAATGAGAAGATGAGTATGAATAAATTTTATTGAAGTTTTCTTAAACCTGATTTATCGTCGTTACTTTTATTGATTTTAGTTAATCCGTGCATTCGTAGTGGAATTAAAAGATTAAGCAATTCATCTTCATTGCATGCGTTTCTCTGTCATCACAGTCAGCTAGTTTCACCACTCCCTATCAGATTCCATTTAGGCAGTCTCCTCTATTTTGTTCTCGCAGCCTGACCCATTACTTTCCACTTGCTTCCCACTAGACAGCTTGCTTGATTTCCGAATTCACTTACAGGTCTCCCCCGGTTATACCAGACTCATTTCTATCTTCTTCTGCATGTTTCTTGTGTGACAGCCCCTTTTTGATGGTTCGCCATCTTCCAGTGTCTCTTTTGATAATCGCGCTATGTGCCAACCCTATTTGACCTACAGTGTCCATTGAGGCTAGCTACCATTGAAAGTCGACAGTCTGTTGGAAATGATTTCGTAGGCTGCACATCAAGTCTCCGAAATATGTAGAAGCACTGAAACGACATCAGTATTTAAAAAATTTGGATCGCATTTCTTATTCCGAGTTCTGTAGATTTCCTCATCATATTTTACAGAATATTGAACAGTCTTGGTTCCTTAATCCTTGATCTAACATACTCATATTTGCAGTGGGTAGTGTTGAATTCACACTGCTCAATTAATGTGGCTCAATAAGCATACACAGCTGAAATACGTATACTGATTTGGAGTGTAGTTACAGGCTGATTTCAGTTGATTGTAACTAAAAATGATGCGTCTATTATCGCTACTACGGGGTCCCATCGACAATTATACATCTCATCCAACAGTTATACGACAATGCTGCATACCAAGTAATCCACAACGGGAAAATTACGGTAGCCTTCGAAGTGAGGACGGGAGTGAGGCAAGGCTGTCTACTATCACCAATGATCTTCCTGATTGCAGTAGATTGGTTAATGAGACAGACAACCGGCAATGAAGAAACAGGCATAAAATGGACTCACACAAAAGACTTGGAGGATCTGGACTTCGTCAGCGATGATATATGTCTGATTTCCCACAAAGTGGAAGATACGCAGATGAAAAGCAACAAGTTGGCCAAAGAAGAAGCATCCACAGAAGATAGTACTTCAGGTGAACATAGATCAAACAGAGATGATAAAGATTCCTGGCCAACACCAACAGCCACAGCAACAACAACAACAGACAACAATCAGCATAAATGGGAGGAACCTGAAAGTAACAGCCTCTTTCACCTACCTGGGGGGCATCGTCTCAACTACAGGCCGACGGAACTGACGAGTATATCAAAGCCAGAATCGGAAATGCAAGACAAGCTTTCATTACTCTCAAATCTGTGTGGAAGTCAACAGCACTTATCATCAAAAATAAGATCCGGATTTTCAACTCCAATGTAAAGTCAGTGCTTCTATACGGATCAGGGACTTGACGAGTCATAAAGAGCATCTCAAACAAACTTCAGTTTTTCATTACCAGCTGTCTTCGCTCAATACTGAATATCAGATGGCCGGCCAGAAAAGATCAGCAACAGGGATCTCTGGCAATGAGCTAACCAACACTGCAGGAACCGATTGTGAAACAAACAGGCAGGAAGAAATGGAGATGGATTGGCCTTACGCTGAAGAAACTATCAAGTGATATCACTAGACAAGCCAGTGCTCGAGTGGAACCCGAAAGGGAGGCGGCGAGTTGGCCGTCAATGCAAGGGTGACTTGGAGGAGGTCGTGTGAAGAGGAGATGAAAGCGTGTGGACAGACCTGGAGCAGGGTGAAAAAGTTTTCAGAAAACCGAAGGCAGTGGAGGTGTGCAGCTGAAGCCCTATGTTCCTCTAGGAACTAAAGGATACAATAATAATAATATTACTTTAGGTGGTCAGATCGTTTCAGAGTAATTCGGTTCGTTGACTGTATAGTTTTCTGGCCTGACTATAACTACGCCTGACATGAATTGAAACTGTTTAAATCATATTTGAAAATTATGGTTTGATAGTGATTCGTCCCCTCTTTTGGCAGTTAAGATGTAGCCAAGTTTCAAGCATAGGTGCACAGACATTCTGATTTTTTCTTTACCATCATTCGATATACAACCGAAGGTGAATGAGATGCTTACTGAGGATACTGAATCGAATCGAGCTGTTCAGTTATCACTGATTTAGTACTCTAAAGATGTAAATGAGTTTTAGTTCAGCTTGGTCAAAGTTTCTGTGGTATTGTTGTTCAAGTAATGATTTTCTCCGAAAATCCTGTTGAAGTTCACAGGTAAACATTTTTTCTCCTTATTTTACTCCTTAAAGATTTTTGGTGGAAAATAAAACTGCAAGCTGTGATTTCCAAGTTTCGGTGTCAATGGTTTTATTCTTGAGTTAGGCTGTTTGGCCTGACTTTCGAGCCGTTATTTATACCAGAATTACCAATGCTTTACCGAAGTTTAGGAGTGTTCGGCCGAAGATCTAGCCTATGAACATCAACATGATTGGCGAGGGTTCTACTACTGAACCGCTGACATAACAGAGGTAACCGTAGATCTCGAAACTGGGTTAGGTATAACATTGTGTATGTTATCTTCACAAGAAGCCGTTTTCTGATTAATTTTGGATAATTCATCATGTATTGTGAAAGTCAGTTTGAACAAGAATATTTGTGTTAGTGTCATTAATCTTTTTTTTTTCAATTTTGTTATTCTCCTCATTTTTCAGCACAAATATGAAACCAAATACAGCTGATGAGATTATGGAACGTTATTATATGCCTGACAAGAATTTGAAACGTTACCGTCAGGAAGGACAACCACCATTCTCTGGGCGTCAAGTGATTTGGGTTAGAGCATTATGCATTGTTACCTAAACTCGTTCTCATTGTTAGTTTGCAGTCGACACAATATGGATGGTGTTGATAACAGTCGAATTCGTGATTTTGTTGACCATAATGTAAGCTTAAATCAAAAATGTTAAGATGCATTCGTCTTGTAGAAGACAACTTTGTGATTTCCTAACAAGCCATGCTTATGTGAAATATCTTTTTCTGTAAGCTGATTATTCAACATTGATTACATTGTTTTTTTGTCGATATTTGTGAATGTTTTTCCATTTAAGATTACAAATAATTAATATGTTGCATGTGGAATTTACGCGCTGTTGTACACGACCTGAAGAACTATGGAATCAGTATTGAAACGCACTGTAGATTGGAGAGAGAATATATTTGACACAGAACAAAGGGATATTATGTTATCTATTCATTGACTATAATTTGAGCTCTGGCGTATTGTTCAAAATCGTTTCACGTTACCCTAAAATAAATTCTGCAAACAACCTGATTAATGCATGTGCTACTAATAAGAACTTTCAATAGTATATATGTATATACTCACAAAAGATGTTCATCAGCATTATTATTATTATTGCTCCCTTGGGTTCCTAGTGGAACATAGGGCTTCAACTGCACGTCTCCATTTTCTTCTGTCTTCTGCTATACTTTTCGCCTGCATCCATGTTAATCCATATTCTTTCAACTCCTCTTCACACGATCTCCTCCATGTCACTCTTGCACTGACGTCCCACACGCCGCTTCCCTTTCGGCCTCGTTCCACTCGAGGGCTTGACGCGCGATGTCACCCAATGGTCTCCTCAGCGAGTGTCCGATCCATCTCCACTTTCTCCTGCATATTTGTTGGGCGATTGGTTCTTGCTTTGTTTGTTCCCATAATTCCTTGTTGGTGATTCTTTCCGGCCATCTGATCTTCAGTATTGAGCGAAGACAGTTGTTAATAAAGGTCTGCAACAGGCTGTTGGATATATTCTTTGTGACCCGCTCGCCAAGTTTCTGATCCGTATAGAAGAACTGACTGACTTTACGTTTGTATTGAAAATCCGAATTTTGTTGTTGATGCTGAGTGACGACATCGGCATAAGACATCAAATAGCTGGCAGACAGATTTGATGTCTCAGAGTGCAAATGATCCAGCGTTGAGGAGATACATGGAAGACGTGAAGGGAATAGAAACAAACACAATCTGAATAGGGGGCAGAATTAACACAGCACGGAAGATCTGTGCAAACGGTGATTTAAAGATAAGGTGTACATAATTTGGTTTTATGTAGAGACACTGTGGTGAGAGCAGGCTGCTAGTCGATTGGTTGGCACTAATCTACGTTAAGGTCTAGGTCACTAATATGGGCCGTGAGAAAATATGAACAAGCCTGAGTCAACAACCAATCACAGCAAAGTTAACGTGGCAAAATATGATTCGCAGAGAGAACTCTATTTGTCAAGGAATCCCGAAACAACCAATCAGAAGCCTGCGTTTGTCTACCTAAACAACCAATCAGATGACTGCGCTTGTCTATAATAATGTAGTTGAAAGATGTATAAATACGTGTTGATTTTCATAATAAAACGATCTGTTGCCTGGCCCTTGTCTTCTGTTGTTACATTTGGTGTCGCTGCCTACCGACAAATGGAAAGCCTTTGCCCTGCTGTTTTTGATGGAGACATATGGATCTTCGGGCAGGACTTCAAGGCTTCTGCGCAGTTGAGTGGCGTTCAAGATCTGTCAGCGATGGAGCTGCTACTTGGGACGCTGCTGGGAGGTCGGGTGAAAGCAGCATATGAAAGTGTGAGCCGAAGTATGGACGAATGTTCGACAGGGTCAGGCAAACAGTTTCCAAAGTGGGAAGGACCATATATGGTCACTTTGAGATGGGGTTACGCAGACACAGTCGCAATGGCGAACAATGAGAGGCGCGTGAACGTCAGCGAGCTCCAGAAATGGATACAGCGAGACAAGCGAACGATGACGCCTGCACCAAGTAGATCAAGCCGACTTCAGTCGCACGTATTTGACGGGGGGACGAGTGTGGTGAGAGCAGGCTGCTAGCCGATTGGTTGGCACTAATCTACGTTAAGGTCTAGGTCACTAATATGGGCCGTGAGAAAATATGAACAAGCCTGAGTCAACAACCAATCACAGCAAAGTTAACGTGGCAAAATATGATTCGCAGAGAGAACTCTATTTGTCAAGGAATCCCGAAACAACCAATCAGAAGCCTGCGTTTGTCTACCTAAACAACCAATCAGATGACTGCGCTTGTCTATAATAATGTAGTTGAAAGATGTATAAATACGTGTTGATTTTCATAATAAAACGATCTGTTGCCTGGCCCTTGTCTTCGGTTGTTACAACACCATGTCCTTCGTCTTCTAGCGTTACACGATGAAGCCCTCTAAATATTTTCTCTTCATGTTATAACACACTTGTAATCATTAGGATAGCATTACCATCAATTTGTTGATGCAGATAGCTGGAGGACAACTCCACTGCATCTGAATTACAAGATGTCTCAGTTGCTGGGAAGAATAATTGGAAGAGATTTGTCATGACCGATTTGCAAATACAGCGAAAGCATGAGGGATGAGTAAAGAGTGGTGTCAGTCAGATTCGTTGAGTTTGAATGAATGATCCGAATGAAGGTCATCTCATAGAATATATATGTAGACACAAATTTATTATTATTATTGTATGCTTTAGTTCCTAGAGGAACATAGGGCTTCAGCTGCGCACCTCCACTGCCTTCGATTTTCTGACAACTTTTTCATCCTGCTCCAGGTCTGTCCACATGCTTTCATCTCCTCCTCACATGACCTCCTCCAAGTCACCCTTGCACTGACGACCAACTCGCCGCCTCCCTTCGGGTGACACTCGAGGGCTTGTCTAGTGATGTCACTTGATGGTTTCCTCAGCGTATGGCCAATCCATCTCCATTTCTTCCTGCCTATTTGTTTCACAATCGGTTCTTGCTGTGTTGGTTCGCTGATTGCCAGAGATCCCTGTTGCTGATCTTTTCTGGCCATCTGATCTTGAGTATTGAGCGAAGACAGCTGTTAATGAAGGTCTGAAGTTTGTTTGAGATGCTCCTTATGACTCGCCAAGTCTCTGATCCGTATGGTAGCACTGACAAATGAGATAACTTTGCAGATTGTTAGTTTCTGCATTTAACCTTCCAAATGAGAGTATCGAAAAACTAACAAAAATTTCATCAATGTATAATTGTCACTCTGTAACCGTGTGGTGATACCTGTGTGCTCATTTGAAAAGAAGACGTTATTTTTACGACAGCGAAGCTAATGAAAGTGATGGGGAAAATAGTGATTTCAAATCTGATATCATATGGAAAGTGTGTTTATTCGGAAGCGTGTGTGTGCGTGTATGTGATTCTGTGAGGATTAAGAAGAGATTGAAGCTGATATATATTCACTGGACCTGGAACTTCCGATGACACACTCAGACTAAACGCCTTGCTCCTTTACAGTGAACCTTAATGTCTTTAGCAGTTAGAAATCAGATCCTGCCAGTTAATTGGGATCAGATAAGTTACCAGAACACTGGAATTCATCAGGGTGTACGATGGCATGTCTGTACATAGGAAGAATTTCGCTAAAAGGTTATTTAGTCATTGCAGTGCTAATATAAAGACAATTCCGCAAAATTGGTTGAGACGACAATAAGTGTGCTCTAAAACGATTTACACGTTGGCAGATGAATCTTCACTCATCACGTCGACGTTTGAAGCGAACAACAGAATTCGAGTAAAGACACTACGCTATATCTGTTGAATTGCAAGGATGAGGAATGTTGGGAGGATGCAAATAACATCAAGGATATAGATATGGGGACAAAAATCAGTATAAATTGGAGGAACCTGAAAGATACCATCTTCTTCACCTACCTGGGAAGCATCGTTCCACTTACAGGCAGATGGAACTGACGAGGATATCAAAGCAAGAATCAGAAAAGCAAGGCAACCTTTCATTACTTTTAAGTCTGTGTGCAGGTCAACAGCACTCAGCAGCAAAAGTAAGATCGAGCTTTTCAGTTTCAGTGTGAAATCAGTGCTACTATACTGATCAGAGACTTGGCTGGTCATAGAAAGCACCTCAAACAAACTACAGACCTTCATCAACAAGTGCCTTCGCTCAATACTCGTGATCACTTGGACCAAAAAGCTCAGAAACAGGCTCTTTGAGAGGGAATCAACCAATTACCAATTGTGCAACAAATAAGCAGGAAGAAATGAGGGTGGGTTTGCCGTGCTCTGAGGAAACCATCAAGTGACATCAGTAGAGAAGCCTTCGAGTTGAACGCGAAAGGGAAGTGGCGAGTTGGTCGCCGAAGGGTGACTTGGATGAGATCATGTGAGGTGGAGATGAAAGCATGTGGGCAGACTTAGAGCCAGGTGAAACTCTAGCAGATAACCGAACGCAAATGAGACGCGCGGCTGAAGCCCTATGTTCCTCTAGTAATTAAAGATATAATAAAAATAATGATTATAAATCTATACATCTAAGATTATCATATTATTATTTATAAGCCTATGTGATGTTGTGTCTGTTCAACAAATATTTGATCATTTGAAAACTACGGTTTGTTACGAAGTAATCTAATAGTGAATATTTTTTTCATCAAGTATGCATATATTGAGATTGCTGTTCGGTATTTGTAAATTGTTTTCAGGCCAGCTGGTTTCATCCTATTGCTTCTATTTCTATTCGTGAAGAAGCTCCAAACGCACTGTCTCGTTGTTCGCATACTGCTTGGACTAACAGTGAGTATCTTTTTTTAAATTTTACTTTAAATGGTAACGTGAAAAAATTAACACCATTTTGCTAAAACATGATCAATAAAGCGAAACTGTGTAATGTTTTGTAGGCATCTACAGTCCCAACAAATGCATTCACTTAATCATCCATTTGATTTACAACATGATATATTGTTATATATTTCGAATAAAGAAATAATCAACCAATTTGTAGGAAAATGAGAGCTCATTTTATTTCGTGAATTTTATTCCACTCTGTACATCCTTAACTAATCAATTGATTTCACGATTTCATCATGAGCTGACATTAGTTACAGAACCGTTGGAAAACCAGCTAGGAGTACTGGGAAGCTGTTTCGTCCTAATTCGAGACTCTTCAGCAGTACGCACCCACCGGGATTCGAACCCAGGACCTTCCGATTACAAGGCTAGCGAGCTCGTATACCATTAAGCCACTGGGACCCGATCCAATGGTCCTTGAATTCTGACTTCTGCCAATTCACGATATAGTGCGACCGCTAGCCAATGTCTTCGGTGGCGAGTATTTGTCCTCACACCCGACCTGCTGCACCCTACTGGTCACGACTTCCCACTGGAACCCAGGTAACTACCTACCTGAATAGGGCCAGTCGCCAGTGAGCATCTCATTGGTATTGAAGTGTTGGTTTGTAGGGATTTGATTGGTTTCAGGATTTCATCATGAGATTTCATCATGAATACCAATGAGATGCTCACTGGCGACTGGCCCTATTCAGGTAGGTAGTTACCTGGGTTCCAGTGGGAATTCGTGACCAGTAGGGTGCAGCAGGTCGGGTGTGAGGACAAATACTCGCCACCGAAGACATTGGCTAGCGGTCGCGCTATATCGTGAATTGGCAGAAGTTAGAATTCAAGGACCATTGGATCGGGTCCCAGTGGCTTAATGGTATACGAGCTCGCTAGCCTTGCAACCGGAAGGTCCTGGGTTGGAATCCCGGTGGGTGCGTACAGCTGAAGAGTCCCAAACTAGGAGGAAACAGCTGTTCAGTACTCCCAGGTTTTCCAATGGTTCTCTAACTAATGTCAGCTCATGATGAAATCCTGAAACCAATCAAATCCCTACAAACCAACTCTTGAAATCAATTAATTATGTGCTTCGAAATTTCTCAACACACTTCCTACAATGATTTCAATGTATAGACATAAAGAGAGAAATAGAGAATAAGTTTCATTATTTCACGCGTGATGTGAGTAGACAATTACTGTGTGTTTGGTAAGAGTAAATATTCATATAATGATTAGACAAAGCGGGTGGAATTCAAATTTGTCTTGAAAACAACGATGAATCTGAGACGAAATACATGATAGTGAATATATATACATATTATGGTGGAGATTTCAGGAAGGTGGAGATGGTAGTGATCAATAGTAAACCAAAATTATGTAATGAGTAAAAATTATTTAACTTAGTAGGTTTGGAACTATTAATAGTGAGTTCAACTCATTACGTTAAAAATCAAAATCAAGACTGAGTGAAATGTTATACAGTAGAACTAAAGAATTACGGTTACCAGGCAAGAAAATGAGAGAGATTAGTCATACAACCTTTCTATATTACAAACATAGGATGCGTTGACGTCTTTTGATACTTACAGCTTCTGTAAACCGAAGTAAGTTGTCAAGGAACCTAACCCTAAGTTCCTAATATTTGCGATGACTCTACGAATCGATAATCACGGTGAATAATCATCGAGTTTAACTCCAAAACTGAAGGACTTGTAATAAGAAAATATATTGTTCGGCCGTTAATTTCTTTATCGTACAAAGGTCTATAAACAAATGTTTTATAAGGAATGCTACCAGTTTTAATAAACAAACGTTCAATATTCACGTTCATTTATATATGCTATTGCTTATGTTAATGCATATATACTCGAAGATAATATAACATAAGGATTGTTCCAACTGATTGTATGAACACTGATCAATATTTCACGGGATACTTCCAAAGACATTGCAGACGGGGTAAAAAGTTTACATATGCAAAAGATATTTTCGTATGAAGCTTAGTGATAATGAAAAAGAAAATCCTAACACTTAGTTAAGTCAACTAAAGAATAATCAAATTAAACATATCGAAGTTTGTTTACACAAGTGATCATCATATCTTTATAACAACTGATATCCAATCATCTCTGAGTCACGAATAGTCATTAAATAAACAAATTCGCATGCTTTGGATGGAGATTTGATCTCATAGTTCCACAAACTTGTTAAAGGTGTTTCTGATACACATTGTGAATGTTGGAATATGTGCGTATTGTTGATACTTCAAGTGGTGAGAGGATCTATATATGCACAATAAAATGAATCGGTGAGAAACTTCATACGACTTGTGAGCATATTGAAAATAATTTAAGATGAAGTTACAGATCTCTGCAAATATAATTCATTCGTATATCAATCGGAAGTTTCCAATTAGATACATTCATTTTAACAACTAAGGTTGTCGTTACAAAACGTAAAACATCAACTACCTCAGAATATGTGAGTAGTCAAGACAACGAACTAGGTTTGGAAATTACCAGCATGAGAAATTTTGTTTTAAGATAATAATAGCTTCATTCCAAAACAGTACTTGTGATACAGAATGGAATCCTCAGCATTTTACTACAATATTGCATCCAGTTAGTACATTAACAATAAATAGAATTCTGCACAGATTAAGGGTATTCTCGGTTAGTTTTGACAACAACCTATTAGTATGTCGGTAGCAAAGCCAAAATTCAACAGAGTGTTAGGTGTTAGAAAAGTAGATACTAGCATATTTACTGGCGTATACAGAAAGAAAGAAGCAAAGCTGCACATAACAGAAAAAAAGAGGGAGAAAAGGAAAAGAAAGAAAGAAAGAAAAACGTTGTACCTATAAATGATATGAGTTGGAAAGACGAGATCCAGTTGTTCTACTGACTATTTAATAAGTTAAAGGTTTCACGCCTAATGCTTTCGTTCCTTATCGCACAGTACACGAGCTAAGTGGGGTATGGATGAGTTTTTGTACTTACTAGTGCGGGCATATAGTTTCCTATATAGGCTTCTTGTTTTCCCTGAAGAGGTACAAGGAGAGAGTTGTGAATGAAGAGGGTGTTGTGAGTTAGATAAAATGGATTTTGCCCATTTTTCACATGAGTCCATGTGCCTGTCCACCAGAATGTTAACAAGCTCATTAAGTGGCACGTTGCTTACCCTGCTGACAACCTTTAACATCCTACGTAATAAGGTATAGTCTTTCTTCAGTAGCCCAGGTAAAACTAAGGGGAAACAATAAAGAATAATAGGCAGAATACGGGATTTAACAAATTGTAGGAGTAAGGGTCGGGTTACACCAGAATGTCTTAACTTCTTGATGTAGAAGGTAAGACGGAATATCTTCTTAGAAATCATCAAGATATGAGACGTCCAGGAAAGATCAGAAGATAGACTCACGCCTAGGTATTTAACTTCCGACTTGGTTTCAATTTCAGTGCCATCAAGGTTGCACACCTCGTGAGCGCTAACCAGTTTGTTTAGGTCAGATTTGTGCCTAAAGGTGAAATTAACTGTTTGGCATTCGGAGGGGTTTAAGGTTAGACCGTTTTCCTTGGACCATTGGCTGATTTCTGATGAAAAGCCGTTTAGTTTAGAGCAGTCACTTGGATATTTGACAGGCAAAGATACAGTTAGGTCATCAGCATATTTGACAAAATTAATGTCATTTGAAGATGGTAGGTCATGTAGAAAGAAGGCAAAGAGAAGTGGGGAGAGTACAGCACCTTGGGAGACACCAGCTTCAGTGAGACCAATCCTATATTCCAGACTGGAAGGCCGATCAGTGGGCGATGATTGCATCTGAAACTGTTGCTGTAACCTCACTTTATTTGTATCCATCATAAAAGGATGATAGTATCATATTTCCATAAGTTACATGTCAGACCATTTTAAGTCTCTCTATGGGTGTTAAGATGGTGTGAGTTTTTGATTCTGACTTACTCCAAGTAATCTTGCTGATGTGCTTTAAACATACTACAGAATCGGGTGATCAATTCAGAATCATCAATATTCAGGAGAATACTTCAGCTGGCTTTCATTCTTGTATCGATTTCTAAGAAGCATTGAAGATTCATTCCACAATGGCCGCCCGGCATATTGGCCAACTGTACGTGCACTTAATTGTTACTTCAAACTCCTCAATATTTTGTGTATTTCATACTCTCAGACTTGAATTACTTAACCACTATTTTTATTTTCACTTCCATTTTGTTACAGGTTACAATGTGGTCTATGTGCTTCGCTGCATTCTTGGGACCCATCAAATTGGTGCCTGGATTAGCGTCACTGGGTGTGACAATTGTTCTATCGGTGATCACGGTTGTGCTAGCTCTAAAACTGCCACCGCTGAATGAAAAAGGATTGTTTATTTTGCTGACGACACTACTTACTGTTATGTGTTTGGTATTCGCTGAGGCAGCTGCGGGGTTCATTAACAAGCAATATGTAATTTTATTTGAAAAATATAAATGTTGTTAATTATGAGGCGATGAAAAGTGTCTTCATAGTAATTATGGTGTAGGATGAAACTTGTACTTCTTTCTATAGCATTTTTTTTCCTTTTTTACAATGTTCTTCGCAATTCCCCTGAATGTCAACTTAGTAAAGCCGCAACCGAATATACACCAAATGTTCACCTAGTTGAGATTCAGATTCACTGAACGATAGTCAATTTGTTAGGGTTACATAATGACTATGAAAAATATTTTCATAATCTAAATGTCACATAACTTGATTAGAGTTGCTTAGTAATAAAATGTTGAAGTGATGGATGTTTATTTTACGCGATGTACAATCATCTACATTCATATCATTTATTGTCTATTAAGATAATATATATACATATAACGTCTAATTGATTCAACATGACTCATTGACTGCTCTACTTCCAAAGAGGAGTTATAAGTTTCACCCACCACATACATCGTAAACACTGGATGGAAAAAAAGTTTGAGAATATTGCGACTAACACTGCTATCCATATATGTCAGTCGATGTGTCAATATGGTATTTTGTACAGAAAATGAAACATGATTATGTAATTTTTGTTAAATAAACTATTTATTTACTCTTTTGCTTTGTAAATAGGAAGTGCTCACTGTACAAGGAATACTTTCGTGCCTGTTTGTAGTCATTGTAAGTTGTTGATTTCATCAGCGTAATGAGTGTCATTGTTATCTCTGAACTACACATGCGAATATCATATATGATCCCCACCCCCGCTTATGCCTGTGAAGTAGTCACTTCTCTTAAGAAGTTTGTCATTTGATCTGTATTCATCTCCGTCATCTCCATCACAAGTATATTCCACATAGCCTAAAGAGTGATCTTGGAAAAATAAGTGGCTGCATTCTTATTTTTCTGATAGGAAGCAGTACACCGTCTACAATGGAAAGTCCTCCACTACCTCACTTACTTTAGCTGGTGTTCCTCAAAGTGCTGTTCTTTCTCCCTTTCTGTTTTCTTTTTTCTTACGTGACTTGCCCCATTCTGATGTAGCCAATTTTATCAAGTATGCTGATGACCTCTCTGTTTCTCTGCCTGTCAACTCTCAGTCAGATTGTACCAAATTAAATAACCTTCTGTCAGAAATTAGTCAGTGGTCCTCTTCAAACGGTCTTGTTGTCTCCTTGCACTCATCTGGTAGAACTAGAAGCAACTATAGGAGGCTATACTATATTCTAGGACTACCAAATACAAAAACTCCACAATACCATATCTGGCACAGCTGTTATGTGATGAGAAATCCGTTAGGTATGACACGATAAACTTACTCCGGCACTCTAACGAATAGTCAGTCTAGTTTTTGTTTTCCTTAACTCGTTACTATAACACTGTTGTTTTCATCTTCTATTACACAATAATTTTATATCAAAATCAAAACGCGACGCTGTTCTTTTCATTTTTTTATTTATCTTTATTTTTCACGATTTCATCATGAGTTGACATTAGTTACAGAACCATTGGAAAACCAGCTGGGAGTACTGGACAGCTGTTTCACCCGTCCTAGTTTGGGACTCTTCAGCTGTACGCACCCACCACAGGGGATACGAATCCAGGACCTTCCGGTTACAAGGCTAGCGAGCTCGTATACCATTAGGCCATTGGGACCCGATCCAACGGTCCTTGAATTCTAACTTCTGCCAATTCACGATATAGCGCGACCGCTAGCCAATGTCTTCGGCGAGTATTTGTCCTCACACCCGACCCGCTGCACCCTACTGGTCACGACTTCCCACTGGAACCCAGGTAACTACCTACCTGAATAGGGCCAGTCGCCAGTGAGCATCTCATTGGTATTGAAGTGTTGGTTTGTAGGGATTTGATTGGTTTCAGGATTTCATGATGAGATTTCATCATGAATACCAATGAGATGCTCACTGGCGACTGGCCCTATTCAGGTAGGTAGTTACCTGGGTTCCAGTGAAAAGTCGTGACCAGTAGGTTGCAGCAGGTCGGGTGTGAGGACAAATACTCGCCGAAGACATTGGCTAGCGGTCGCGCTATGTCGTGAATTGGCAGAAGTTAGAATTCAAGGACCGTTGGATCGGGTCCCAATGGCCTAATGGTATACGAGCTCGCTAGCCTTGTAACCGGAAGGTCCTGGATTCGTATCCCCTGTGGTGGGTGCGTACAGCTGAAGAGTCCCAAACTAGGACGGGTGAAACAGCTGTCCAGTACTCCCAGCTGGTTTTCCAATGGTTCTGTAACTAATGTCAGCTCATGATGAAATCCTGAAACCAATCAAATCCCTACAAACCAACACTTGATTATCTTTTTTTGGTGTTGGTTTTTTGATTTTAAAATCTTATAAAATTTATGAGGTAATTAGCTGCAATATACTGTAATGCACGCTGAAAATTCCATACCTGTACCACAAATACCGTTTGGAATAAAGCTGTTATTATTATGATTATTATCTTAATTACACATTCAAATAATCAATAAAGATGGACAACAGAGAGGAAAATATATTATCGGTTGGAGACTAGGGAAGTCAAAATACATGAGTGATAAATATGTTGCAGAAATTAGGGATAGACTGATAGATTAAAAAGGTTCCTCTGATTCCCAATGAATTGAAAACAAAATGATATTGCTGTTTTTACTGACGCTTCGCTATTTAATGCTGCTGCTAATAGATTTATCAAAGTAGTATTAAACCGAAATTCACTAAATCTCAGCATTTATATAACAAAGAGATCAGAGGTGAGAAAATAGACTGAAATAAAGTTAAAGGGACAACTTGAAAGTCAAAATAACAATGAAGATCACTAAACCAAATAACTAAGTTAATAGTAACAGCACATCTGTTATGATATCAAAACAAAGTTTGCTAACTTGATCATCGTTCGTCTGTCCGGGGTCATTTTTCGTTGTCAAGTTGGTGAATTGGTAAAGATAACAAAACCAGGTGTGGATGGTTGGATTTGATCAATGTGTAAAATCATAAAAACAGTTTGTGTTTGCATATTGAAATTGTTTGTTACATCCATGTTGATTTTGTCACTTCATGGCGGAGGGAGGTGTAGTAACCAGGTCAGATTCTGTTTTAGTCTATCATTCCTATTCAGGCAATTTGGATTCCACTTGATACGAAGTGCTTCTGATATTAGACGTTCTTTGTGATTTCTGAAATGCTTTTTCTGGATGATGATTTCAATAATGTCAAAATCAGTTTTGTGGCCTGATTCTACAAAGTGCAAACCTATGGTCCACTGATGATTTCCAAAGCTTTTCTAGTTCAACCGGATTTCTCGGTGATCGCAGAGATGTTCCACGGTGTTCATTTCTTCTGACTTTGATTTCCCTCGGGTTATGTTTGTCCGATGTATATCGTATCACATTCCGAAGGTTTTGTTTTATGGACGCAATTAGATAAAGAATCTTTTGGAATTTCGTCTTTTATATGTACAAGTTTGCTTTGAAGAGTGTTTGATACTTTGAAGAAAACTCTAATGTCGATCTGATTGAGTACTCTTCTGATATCGTCTGATGTCCATGTTTTTGGAATGCGTTTTCGGCCATACTTAATGTCTGTGTTGATTTTGTTGATGAAGTTCGTTGGGTAGTTGTTTTGCTTGAGAGTTTCAGTAATGTCTGATATTTCTTCTTCTTTTTCTTTCTCATCTGTAACCAGAGTGTATTCGTCTAAGAAGACTTGAAACAACTGAAATCTTTGCACTGATGGGGTATGAAAATTTGAAGTTTAAATATTTGTCGGAATGGGTTTTCTTCCTGAATATGAATATACTGAAATGTCCGTTTTCCTTTCTCTTAACTAGGCAGTCTAGAAATGGTAGTTAACCGACGTCTGATTCTGCTTCCGAAGTAAACTGGATTCTGGGAGATACACAGTTTATTATCTCCAGGAATGAATTGTGTAGTGCTCGTTTTAGCACTACAAAAGTATCATCCACATATCTTAACCACATTTTAGGTGTGAGTATGCTTAAAAAGATATTATTTTCGAATTTATTCATGTAAAGGTCGACGACTAATGGGGAGACTGGTGAACCCATAGCAACACCATTTGTCTGTCTGTATAAACTCACTTTAAATGTAAAATAATTACTTTCTAGACGGAATTTCCAGCTCCTAATTATTTCATTGGTGTCCAGTGGACATCTTTGTGATAGCGTTGTATTTGATTCTAGTAGACTGGAAATGATATCAATACTTTCGGTAATTGTGATTCTAGTATGTAATGAGTTATTATCATAGCTTACCATAATGTCTTCTTTATCAATTTCTCGGTGTTCTATTTGGGATTTGAAATCATATGAATCTTTCACAATATTTTGAGTGTCCTTTTCTAGTGGTTGTAGTATCGAGGGAGAGGTTGTCTATCGGTGAGGTGGAGAAATCTACTACTGGTGTTAATGGAACTTTGGGTTTATGTACCTTTGGTTGACCGTAGAATATTGTAGGTACATAAGATTTTGGTTTTAGTTTAAACCAGAGAGAGTTTTCAATTTTCACTTTCATCTCTTGAAAGAGTCTGTTTGTATTTACTTATATTTTTTTGAATACGACCAATTTCTTCTTCTCTTCAATGAGAAAGTGTGCTCCTTCAGATAAGTGTTCAATCACCTTCTTTTCATAATCCGTTCTGTTTATTATATAGTGGCGTATCTCTTGTCGGTTCTCGTTATAAGGATGCTCTTGTCTTTCTTCAAATTTCTTAAGGCTTAATATACCGATTGACCAAATTGACAACGGAAAATGACCTCAGACTCACGAACGATGATCAAGTTAGTAAAGTTTGTTTTGATATCATAGCAGATGTACTATTGCCTCTGTTAATAGTGATCTTCATTGTTACTTTGACCTTCAATGTCCTTTTAACTTGACCTAAGTCTATTTTCTCACCTCACAACTCTTTGTTATATATATATGCTAAGATTTTGTAAATTCTGGTTTACTACCACTTTGATAAAGCTATTACCATTGAATAGCGAAGCGTCAGTAAAAACAGCAATATCATTTTGTTTTTCATTCATTGGGAAATGCAAAAATCTTCATAATAAGGAATATCATATACTAAATGCCCAAATGTTTTCAAACGCTGACAACGCATTGATTCATGTATGAATACTCGTTTGAAAATAGTTGATATAGGAAAAGGAAACAGAAGACTGAATATGTAATGAGTTAAAGAAGGCCTTGGTAGTAGAAGAGGTTCTATGAAGCGCTTCTGAACAGAAAGTTCAGGTTTATCCTGAAGGATTCCTAAAGTGAAGACAATTCGATTTAGTTGGTCGAATTTTGTATATGACTTCCATTGAAGTTTGTGACTATGTTGTATGATAAGAAGTAGTAATATGCTCCAGAAATAAGCTATTGTCTATTCTACCTTCTTCTTGTGACAAACATGTTGGTAAGTGTTCTTGTGCACGTCAAGAGGTGGTTATTTATTTTATTTGTATTTTTGATTATAGCTTGATTTTACACTGTACTTTTAGTACATGTATGGAATTTTTAGCATGTGATATCGGTAGCCTAAATTTTGCAGGTTGATCAACTGGTATCAGGCGTGCGTCGGTAGGGGATCGAAATTTGGACCACTTGCATTCTCAGCGAGAATCCCAACCGTTGTGCCACCGACGCACATTCGCTTTGATTTACTCTGTTACAAATTGTTACCAACATTTGAACTTGGTTGTCAATCTACGCTGCATATTTAAACGCCATTGATAAATACACAGGCCTGAAGTACAGCTACAACATGCAGGAATATTTTGCTGCTGACTCATGTCTTCTTGATCACGTGAACTAGGAACTTCTCATACTTTGAAAAAAAATCAAAATTAGAGTACACATTTGCATTCCGTAAATTTCACTATATACTTACACAAATGGGAGGAATTATTTTCGATTTGAAAATGTGCGGTTTGTCTTTTCACTTTACAGTTAATGTTCATCTGGGTCAATAAACGACAAATGATCCTGGAGCCTCTGTCCCCTTCATGCTCAGAAACCTTTCTAGCATTCGTCGTATGGTGTACGATTATATGCCTATTCACGCAAATATTAATCTGCTTTCCAGCATGGAGTGGTGAGGAATGTCAGATGAAGGCGAAAAATAACACAAAAATTGCCAACGTTCTGTCTATTCTTCACATAAAAAACGTTAAATTTTAATCAAATGTATCCACTTTACTTCGATTGTGACTGCTGATTGCAGATTAATTCTCTATATTCTCAACACTGTTTGATTTCCTTTGATTTCCTGCAATATCTGAATTCATTGAATATAAAATTAGAATTTTCAAGTATTGGTTTTTGTAGGGATTTTGTTTGATTGCATGGAGAATTGAATCATGAGCTGACATCAGTTAGAGAACCACTGGTGGGTGCGTACTGCTGAGGAGTCCCAAACTAGGACGAAACGGCTGTCCAGTACTCCCAGGTTTTCCAGTGGTTCTCTAACTGATGTCAGCTCATGATTAAATCCTCCATGCAATAAAATTAGAAGTGAAAATAAATTAAATCGTAATTATTTCTTTGTTTGTTTGACATATCTTCCACTGTCAATTTAAGTGTATGTTAGAACTGTGATAGTGAATTGTTCGTTGGTCAGTGTATGTCATCAGAAAGATTTAGACGGAAACTCCCAGAGTAAAGAAAATATGATGGTAGTGAACTCATTTTTGACATATTCGAATCATGGCGACTAATTTACTGATACGGGGTAAGTGATATCCGAGAGGGGCACTTTGATCCACGGAATAGTGTATAAGCTTATTTGTATGTTGTCACACTGTGAGTCCATCTCAGGCAATACCACCTATTTACAGCAGAAATGGCAACTGACATTCGTGTACACACAGACGTCATTATACTAAAGAGTGTTTTTGTTTCGTTCATCGACCGTGATAGTGTTGGTTTTAATTCATGAAGCATTTCCATCCGCAAATTACCAAATAATGACAAGTTGTTCAGCAGGGAGGCTGTTTTTGGCGACTCCAGTCACCCACTCACCTCCAAAAGCACAATAGACAAAGTCACACATGTATCTGCAATATTTGAGTGTGATTGTTCAAAGAAAATGTGGGAGAAGAGATTAGAAAACCGAAAATTTCGCGTCATTGATATAAGAATAAAGCCTGTGCACTATGGCAGAATATATTTTCATTACGGGTAAAATTTATTTTGATACAAACTCACAGTTTTATACTAAAATATATACTGATGATATTTCGAGCAAGATTTATTTCTGCTCATAATCATATCGAGGTACTCACTCAGACAACTTTCTAACTTTTTTTTTATATAATTCTATTATTTTTCACGGCTTGATTGGATTGGTAGTAGTATTTTCCATATTTCCTGTATGATTGATGAGTCATTCTTATTGAATGCGTTGAGCGTGGACTCGATGAACAAGGATTCAGTAATCACACTCTCCCACTCTCCACCTAACCATATTATTTTTTAGAATTTCCAACCCTCCCACCACCATATTGTGTGGTTGCGTTTTAATGCATGCAGTTCGATCGCAGAGTTGCTCTTTTTAAATTACTTATCTTCTCGGAGTCAGTCATTTTAACTTGACTAAATTTCTACCTTTTGATAATTTCACTACTCCCGATCTACAATTGTGACCCAATTAGTTGACTTAACTCAAAATTATTGCACGGTATTTTGTAAATTATATTATTTTGTCTTATTGGTTCAACAATGTCCTTTAACCTACACAGCTTGTCTCTAAGTGAGTTTTTAGGTTTAAATGTCACTCTAATTCCTGTTTTATTAGGAATCCTGTGTAGGAACTCAGCTGTCCCCTCCTTATATGGTATTACAGTAGATATCTTATTTTCTCTCATATCTATGTTATCATTACTAGTTTCACCATTGATTTGGTTTGCTTTTGGCCTCTTTTGATCTCCTTAATGAATTTAATAGAATAGTTATTCGACACCAACGCTTCTTCTATGTGTTTTATTTCGTCATTTAGGTCTTTTCTTGTACTACTAAGTGCCACTGCTTGATTTATTAGACACTAAACTAAGCCTACTGTAACAGTTAACGGATGAAATGAATTAAAGTCTGACTATCTAAGAGTATGAGTCAGTTTTTTATAAACGCTGGTGGGTAATTAACCTTCTCCTGTTCATTTTATTTCACAATCTAACATAGCTAATTCTCCTTGTTCATTTTCTGATTCATATGTGAATTTTGTTCCCTCCACTAGTGAACTTATATGTCTCAAGAAGCTAGACATGTTTTCTTTTTTTAACACTTTGAAAGTGTCATCCAAATATCCGCACCTTAATTTTGGAGTAGGATTAAATCTATTTTCAAGTATTGGTTTTTGTAGGGAGTTTGTTTGATTGCATGGAGGATTTAATCATGATCTGACATCAGTTAGAGAACCACAGGAAAACCTAGGAGTACTGGACAGCTGTTTCGTCCTAGTTTGGGACTCCTCAGCAGTACGCACCCACCGCCAGGGTTTGAACCCAGGACCTTCTGGTTACAAGGCGAGCTCGTAGACCATTGAGCCACTGGGAGCCAAAAACCAATACTTGAAAATTCATCTGATGCTCACTAGTGACTGGCCCTATTCAGGCAGTTAACCTGGAGTTCTAGTGGGAAGCCGTGGCCAGTAAGGTACAGCAGGTCGAAGATGGGCAGTAACTCATCGAAGAAGACTTTGGGAATTGTTGGTGCTATGTCGTGAACTGGCAGAAGTTAGAATTCAGGAACCATTAGATCGCGTCCCAGTAGCCCAATGGTCTACGAGCTCGTCTTGTAACCAGAAGGTCATGGGTTTGAACCCCGGAGAGTGCGTACTGCTGAAGAGTCCTAAACTAGGACGAAACAGCTGTCCAGTACTCCTAGGTTTTCCTGTGGTTCTCTAACTGATGTCAGCTCATGATTAAATCCTCCATGTAAATGTATTTTCTCAGGTATCCATGAATATATATGCTACAAAAGGGTATATTGGTGATCCATCCAATTGATACACCTTCTGTTTGTCCATATATTTTGCCTTGTAAATTAAAGATAGTAGGTTTGGGGCATAAGGGAATTCCTAAGAGAATTTTCCCATTGGGCAGCTTTGCCCTATGAGTGAGTTCAGGATCTGCAGTTAGTTCTTTTTAACTACTTCTAAAGGTATATTGATTGTTATATTAATATAAAGACTAGTTATATCAAAACTAACCATTATTTCATCATTCTCTAGTTGAATGTCATTTAGTTTATTTTTCATCGCGTATAAATTAGTCAGCTGGCCTACAGTTTGAACGATTTCTAATGAGGCATAATTTTAGAGCTAAATGTTTTGATAATTCATAAGTAAGCATATTTCTCAAATCTGCTATTGGTCTTTTGAGGGAACCAGGTTTATGTATTTTAATAGTACCACATATATATTTTACTAGCATTATTAGTATTCTGCAATAAGTTAAACCATTCAGAATTTCGTGGGTATATGTAATGTGGAATAATGTAATGGTTAATCCAGAGGTTCAGTATATTTTCTGGAATGCAGATGTTCAACCTGACGACAATCGGTGTCATAATAAGTAAAGCTTGAAGAAATTCTGTTCTTATTGCATTCCTATGATTCAAGCATATTTGAAGATGACGCTGAAATCTATATGCTGTTCCACTAGGAAGCCAGATGAGTTCATATGTCTGAAGTCAGAGCTGCGGAAAGATGCATGGCATACCCTCAGTCAGATGTTCTGGAAATAAAAGCTGTGTGCAGCCAACACACCTTGTTGTGCAAGATGAGGTGAGCTTATGCATTTCATATGACACATTAGTATAGTAGTAGCAACCTTTTCCAGTCGAGTCACATGGTCTTTCCGTTGTTTATCACTTCCCCGATCTCCTAGTAAACACAGGTCGATCGTGTGATTTAGTGCGAATTAGGAAGTTGTGACACCTGCTGACTTGGAATGCTTCGAGTTTTTTGTTTGCTGCTTCTTTGTCACCGGTGTGATGAGTCAAGTAAAAAACTGCATTTTGGAGTTGAGTCCGATAACTTTTGATTATGTGGTGCGGACTAATATTCCCTAAGGACGTTTTAACAGTTCATCCTGCAATAGATTGCTGACACAATTCAGTGAATTGATCCCTCTATATATCTCTAAGCATTATCATATATTATTCTCATGATATTTATTGACGTAATTGCCTCGTGGAACAGTGAGGTGCATTTTCGTACGTTTGGGGAAGCTTTAGATCTTCCACGTCGCTTTTCACTTCACTTCATCTCTCAATTAAGTCCGTCAGTGGCATAGCGGTTAGGATGCTCGCTGACTATGCACACGGTCCGGGGTTTGATCCCCGGCCGACGCACTCCTATACCTCGTTAAGCCAGAAATAATGCCGGTGAAGAAGAAAGGTTGGGCATGAGGCTAGCAACCCCGTCCTGTAAAAATAAACACTGCTACAGGAACTTCAAGCCACTAGCTTGAAGCCCTATGTTCCACTGGGGAACGTGAAGGAAAAAAAATCATCTCTCAATTACTTAACGTTCGTAGCATCTGAATGTAAATATTGTACAATACACAGCTATTCAATCCAAATGCATTCAATTTGTAAACACCGCTCATTCAGGGGATGTTGAATATTAAACGCTCTAGCTTTTAAGTTACATGTTACTTACAAGTAGCGAAATTAATCTACAGGATATTTGAAGTCGATTACTCAATCAAAAAGTGATAATCTGATAAAAATCGATCAAGAACAAATGAAGTTTATTCCACTAAGCTGAAGTATTGTAGGTCCAGAGCTTTCTTCCGAGTGCTTCCTGCGATCTACTATCAATATATGTGTGTAGCTTAGGCACTTTGGTAGTAAGCAATTCCATATTAGTTTGTTTATTAGATGTATCACACATAAAACAATATTATTTACTGGATGACACAATTTATTATTCATAATCATATCAATTATAATTACACGACTTTTAGAGAGTACGGCGATGGCAAGCCACCTAGATTGGGGAACATACCGAAAACTCGACTGTCGGAATTCAGTCTGCAGCGAACAAAGTAGACTAAACCCATGACACTACTTAATAACCAGTGTACAGTCAAAGTAAATCTTTGTGGTACACTGCATGAAATATTCATCTGAGCGAACTGATGCACTGATACTCCACATTGCTCAAAATCCTAGTG